AGCTGCGCTGTGTGCAAGTTCAAAACATCCACCGGTAGAGTCACACCGCAGGCCGACCGCCCCGAGCTAATAAGTGGTTTCAAGCGCTCTGACTGGCTCCGCTTGGGAAGGGTGGGGAGGGAAACGGCACCACACGGGAAAACAACCCAGGAAAAAGGAGCAAATGCAAAAAAGAAAACGTGTTTACAGACATCAGTGCTGGGCAGCAGCGATCAGGTCCATGATGCTCGTGGCTCGTGGCACTGCCGCCCGGAAGGAAGCACGTGTATATCACTCAGAGAAAGAACAAGAAGAAATTCCCTTTTCGCTTGTTGGAATTTTATTCGAACGAAGGACTGAACCGAGGACGACGGTGATTAGCACACGTACTTTAACACAAGGAACAGGTTGATTGGCCGGTGTTCAAGGCGAATTCCTAAATCGCAAACGGGAGTAAAACAGCGCCACCGAAGCCCGTGACTCGGCTGTAGGTGCCGACAGTGTGCGGAGGGGTGAAGCCGGTTTAATGATTAAGCAGCAGTTTCACGCGCGCTAGTTCTCATTTACAGGAAAGCCGAGTCTAAAGCCTGTCCTCCACGGTGATGAAGGGTTGTGCAGTTCTGCCTTTGGTCTAAACTTCCTTTTTTTTCCCCATGTCGGAGACAGAGGACAGACCACCTGCCAGTGGAATCCTCAATTAGCGGGGCAAGGCAGCGGGCTATCAGAGGTGATGTCAAATAATGGAACCGACTCACATACAGTATCTGTCATCATTCCTGGGAATGGTCGCAGCCACCCGCAGCGAATTCCAGAAGCACAAGGCAGGAGAGGGGACCTCACCCTGGATGGGACCCACGTGGACGCACACACAGCACAAAGCAGCCCCGCATTTCTTGCAAAGGAAACAAGAGAGCCCATGGAAACTCCATGTGGTCTCGGAGAGACCATACAAACTCCTCACAGAAGGTTCATCAGGCAGGAGTTGAACACAGGACACAAGGACTGCAAAAAAATCAGCGCTAACTGGCTAACTGCCCAGTCTGCCCTAATAATTTAGCATTTTTTATTTATAGAATTTCACAAGTCCTTTGAACAGTTTTACCACAGGGTACAGAGTGTTTGTTTTCTTCCTGTGCCAAAGGTTAAAGTAAGAGAACTGGGTGGCCTCCCTCCCATGTCCCTGGTGTGGGTCACAGTCTCTGTGTGATCCACCTCCTTCTCCACCCTGTCCTTCAACAACAACACGAACACCCCTGCTGCTGGTAAAAACATCACGCTGTTTTCCCAACAGGCCAGCTGAGGCGATGGCTGGGGTTAAAAGCTCTTCCTTTCTCTCATTGGATGTTTTTGTTGGCTCTCAGCTGGTAACAATCGCTAATATGGAGATAAAGATCTATTTTAAGAGCTGTTAAAGGCATGAGCTGTGGGGTTCAGGCAATGTAGTTATTTTAACTGTTTCCTAGCAGTTTTGCGCAACATCCCCTTCGCTACCTCCTCTAGTACTAGTCTGGTGGTTCTATCAAAAAGCCGATTGATCAAGGTGTTCCTTTCAAAAATGAAATGCTGGTGGCAGAGTACTTGGCCCTTGTCCTCCACTCCCTCGCCGCTGTGTGAAACAAGGACAGGAGCAGAGAGAGGACAGCGGGCAGACAGAGGAGCCAGAGCTTCTCCTGTCTGTGAGAGGGATCCTGCTCCCTGCCTGCTGGGCTCTGTGGGATAGGAGCACGCAGAAGGAAAGGAGACAGGACCCGCGCACTCCAATCCTCCAATGACAGTGCCACAGAGGGAGGAAGATCGGAAGATAAAGTTCTCATCTTCCCCACATCACCCGCCGCCCAGAGTCTTCAGTTCCCCTAAATAAAATGACCTCACTGGGGGAAACTGTGAGATGCGATGGAAATTCTCACTGTCTGGGCTCTTCCAGAGGGTCAGCGTGAGGGACACTGCCTGTACAGACACAAGGCAGTCCGGATCCACTAGCTCACCGGTTTTTCAAATAACGTTGCAATTTCCTGAGAAGTTCAGTGTTCACCCCTTCCAGAGAAATAACACCATACTATTTTTTTTTCCCCAGTTTTGGCACAAGATTACAGCAGATCCTAACTAATTCATTTGACTGAGGCTTTTATTGTGAGTAACTTACAATTACAACAATCAAGACTGGAGGCACTTACTTCCACAAAGAGTTGTGGGGGTCTGGAACAAGTTGCCCAACTCCGAAGTGCCTGGATGAAATCCTAAGATCAACTACAGTAGCTGCTGACTACCACGCAGTCCAGACTGGACAAACAGCCTCCCGTGTTTGTGACCTGTCCTGTGTTGTGTAGTTCTTCCCTGGCCAGCAAACACAATCCAGCCTAAGAGTCCAGCAATAAGCACTGCTTCCTCACACTGCAATGAGAACCTCGCTTGTTCATTATTTGCATACTGAAATAATTTTATCAATGAGCCACACTTTGTGCTGTATCTTCAATTAATTTATGAGAATCCCTATTGTTTGATCGAGATGTAATGCTCAGATCTGTAATCTGAGCAGTAGAAGACACTCTCGGTGCTGTCTTTGTCAGTTTGCACTGTGTGGGATTAAGGGGTGCCTTTCATGCAGAGGCTGGTCCCCAAGATTAACCTCTTAGTGGGCGGCAATGTCCCCAATCACCCTCCAGACAAGCGCACAGAGCCCCAGGGTGCTGCAGGTTTCGTCAGACCTGTGAAAGGCAGGGGTTTCTCACTCTGAGGCAGCAGGGCAGAATTTACTGTGAAAGCTGCTACAGCAACTTCGCTTTTAGTTTTGAAATAAAAGCCTTACTGAGGTTAACTGCGTCTGCGGTATGATTCTGCAAACGGATGATTTTCTCTGAGCCAGGGCCAGAACCCAGAGCAGAAGAGGCTTTGAGGTCTCCTGCAGGAGACTCTCATACCGAGAGTGATGAGTGGAAGACAGAAGATATTCAATCGCACTTTGAATTAAATACCCATTTTGCGTGCCCTGTTAACAGGCTGGTGCCATCTGGAGTCGAGGACTGAAGCTCCTCACTGGGAGTCCTCCTGCTCCGATTTAGCTGCATGACCCTGTAGAGCCCACAGGGCCACACGGCCTTGTCTCCGGGGGAAAGAAAAGACCAAATTCAGGCCCTCTGCTGTCCTTGCACTTGGTGGCACAGCAGAGACCACAATCACAGTTCACAGGACAGTGCAACACTTTTTTCTTGGGTCTATTTTAAGCTCATTGATAGGCTTACATGAGGGAAAACATCAAGCGAGACTGTAGTGACTTGTTATCTGAGTGCGCCTGGAGGTCGGACTACAACTCTGGCCCAGACGAGCGCTTCTGTGGGCTGACAGAAATGCACAGAGGCCCGAGACAGTGAGAGCCCAGGAGGCAACTGCACACGCTAAGCTTTCAGGAGACATTTAGAAGCATTGCTTACTCTGTTCGCTGGCACGGCGCTCTTGTCTTAACATGCTCTCAGCAGCCTTAGACTTGGGCTCTGCAGGTTAAGACTATGGCAGAAGGCGGCTGCATTTGAACCGGCCTGCCTGCCTTCACCTCTTCCCTACCACCTTCACCCACTCCAGCAGGTCGTCTCCACGGGGGTGTAAGTCATAAAAGACCACGACTCACTTCGCGATGAAGGAGTATTCAGCCTAGAAAGGCTGGGCAGCTCCAGGAGAGCTGGAGGGGTGCTGCTAGGCTCAGACCTGGCTGGCTGGGTCTTCTTCCTTGGTCCCAGGATGCCTCACACACTGCACCAGGAATTGCAATCCTGCACTTCGGCACAGCGGCACTGCGGGGTCTCCGGCACCGTGTGTGCAGGCATGCAGGCTGCTTGCACTAGCGGAGAGCAGGAATGCTGTGGATTTAACTCACTCGGACTCTGCCGGTGCTACGCGTGGATCTACAACAAACAGGAATCCTGTCAGGAGCTTGACTGTCTGCTGGCTCGATCTGTCATGTTTCCTGAGGCGGCGTGGAGCTGCATTGACTCCAAGGGTACAGTGTATTGGAGTGCCACTGCAAAAGGGTCTCGAATGGCCTTCCCCTGGGCACTACCCCTTCCTGCACAAGACAGAGGAACTGGACTCCAGCCCCTGCCTCCTCAAACACTTTCACAAGCGTAAAGATAATCAGAACAGAATTAAACAGACTCAAGACTTCTGCTATCGGGATCCTGAGCATCGCCGGTTTTGTCTCATAACAAAACCAGAAGGCCAGTCTGACAATAAACTGAAAGTGCTGGAGCTCCAGGCGTTCAAACACAAATGCAACAGAAGCAGAACAGCTCAAGTCAGGAGACTGCAAGGCCCTGCGCCTCTCAGCTGTGGCTCAATCAACCACACACCGGGGAGCACTAGAGCAGACACCTCAGAGCTCAGCAAGCGTCCAACCACTGACCTGAACGGTGCTTTCAAGTAGAAAACAGGACGGTCAAAAGGCCTTTCTGGACGAATAACACCATTACAAGACAAGGAGAACCGCAGAATTTGAATGAGCAATAAATCTTCACCAAGTGAATGGTGCTCAGGCCCACGGTCCTGCCCTGTTGGACACCTGTAGAGGAACCCCGGGCTTCTCTCCATCTTGTCAAATAAGTCCTGCCTTCCAGCTTCTTTGAGCGTACAGCTAAGTCTTACACAACTCACTTCGCTTCGCCCCGGTAATTCAGAAGGGAAACCGCTCTGAGCAAACCGTTGCCATATCAACATTTTACAAAGAGCGTTTCAGATTGCCAGCACTACAAACACTGTTATTGTCAGGCAAAGTCTGATAATTATCTTTGCAAAATGATACCGAGTGATGTAGCTCTCGGAGTACGTACTATTATTGGTGCACATACGTCGAGCTACAACGGAGCCTGTTAAAAACTTTCTGAAGTGCTACTTCATACAGCTACGCTTTTATCTCAAATCGCTACAAAATAAAAGTTCGCTGTTAACGTCGTGTAAATAACCGGACCGCCTCGCGGCTCTTCTGGCAGCCCCGCGGCCGCCGGTACCGGAGAGAACAGGGCGCGCGCACTCACGCTGTACTCCGCCGCCAGTCGGTCCTCGGCGCCGCAGCCGGACGCCTGCTGGGCCCTCGTCTTCTCCACGAACGCCGCCAGGTGCCGGTGGTCCATGGCTGTCGCGGAGTCAAAAAACAAAACAGCGAGAAATAAGGAAACCCCGACGCTCTCTAGGCGCAGACGAGTCGACACTGAAGCAGCCTCATGGTCAGCAGGGCTGTGAAGAGCTCCTGCGCTGTGCGCGCCTGAGCCGGACCTCCTCACCTCAAAGAGACAAAGTGCTCTCCTCCAGCTCGCTGGAGCCCACTGCGCGTCAAGACTGCTCTCCGTGCAGCCCGGGGCTCAGCAGTTTCTTCCTCTTGTCGGAGCGTGCGAGAGTGAAGGTGCTCTCGGTCACATCTGGACAAGGAAGTGTTTTTTCAATCACTGGAAACGCGCCAGAGCTGTCGGACTGCCGGCGGCGCGTCAGCCTGCTCCCGCGAGCGGGGCGCCGAGCCGGCCGGTGTCCGGCGCGCTGACCCTCCGCTGGACAGCGCGTTTTCCCCGCAGCAGGGCAGCGAGCGGCGCCGCCCGGAACAGCGAGCCGGAGCTGAGAGACGAGGTCTCGGCTCAAGCAACTGTATTCGCCTTCGACAAAATAAACCGAGGCTGAAAGAACTGCGCGTTCTAACCTGTAAAATCACCACCCTCCGTCACACTGACCGGCTGGAGCCCTGCTCAGCGCTAGGGAGTCAAACCCCTGAAGGCTCTTTAACCCCACCAGCGCTCTCTATTTCTACACACAGAAAAAAATCATCTTTGCACGATTCAAGAAATATTGTATGGCGATATTTTATGCGCGTCAGAAATGGTCGTGCAGCGCCGTTATCCGTCAGCATCAGTGCGCAAGGCCAGATCAGCACAGGGGTTTTAAGACGTGTGGTGTACGTGCAACAAGCACTTTGTGCCTCTGGTGGACTTGGGTGCCATTCTGTAGGCTACAGTCCCTGAGTCTGAGACGCTAACTTCGGTCTCCGGGAAGCGCGCTCAGCCCGAAGGGGCAGTGTCTCTGGTCCAGACCGCAGTGCCTGGTACTGGACTGGAGGCCTGTTGGCATAGTATGCAATTGCACCCATAGAGGAGGACATTCATGGGTAATTTTTAAAATGCTTTTAATATTTGTCAACAATAATCTTTTGTCCAGCCGCTCTCACAGAGTTACAGTCTAGACGAGTCCGATTTTTATAGTAGTGTATTAGGATCAACAGTGCCCCTGTGTGGCCGCCTGTGTGGTCTCAGAAACCTGTTTCCAACGAGCAGGAAGAGATATTCGGCTCCTTACCGAGGTAAAAAGAAGGAAAAAGCTGACAAAGGTTAAATAAGCAGAGGGCATTGAGTGGTGTGTATGCAGCTGATGGACCCGATGATCTTTAATACAGCTGTTTCCTGAACAATCTCAGGTTATCGGAAACAGTGACGACAAGAATATACTGTATTTCAGGTGTACATCATGAGAAGAATAAAGACAGCCCGTGTAACTCAGGACATTCTTGATAGTTGCACTTGCTGAATGCGGGGATAACTGTCCTCTTTCTGACAGGAATGACGTCAGAGGACCAGACCAGCCCTGCTGTAATGTATGGAATCTGAGTGGTTAATTAAAGACAGCGTGCGATCCGTTTGAAAGCATTTTCTTAATAATAGATGAACCAGTGATACATCCATGAATATTTACTATTATTGCAGCTGGTGTTCTGGAAGTCGAGAGTTTCTTAATTTCGCACCACCGCAGTCCCCTGGCTACCTGTGCCAGCAGACAGCACTCCTCCACCTGTCCCGCGACTAGCAATCACCCACAACGTGCTCAAAAGGGTCCAGACATGCTCCTCGCCCGCTCGCCCGAGCAAGACTTCAATGCAGACTCCACGTGGGCTCACGTTTGGGAATGACTGGTCTTGGCAAACAAGAGCCTCATCACATGCCCTACCCTGCAATCCCCTAGCCCGCACCTCCCAGGAAAACACTTCTCCACTCTGTGCTGCTTTAGGACTGGTCACTGGTCATGGTCCAAACTCTGCACCACATCCTAGAGCCGAGCCGAGCCGAGCCGAGCCGAACCCTGTCCTGTCCTGTCCTGTCCACAGACTCAGTGGGGGACTACTCACCCTCCACACAGCTGGACCAGAAACTATCAATGGCCTGAGGAACTTTGCCTTTCGCTAAATAAATACGGTTGAACTCAAAGTAGGAGGCGTAAATGACCTGACGCGTGTCCTCTCTTTGTATATCAGAACAGGTAAGACATACTATTGACCAATTAAAGTGTTATTAATTCTGGGAATGCGCTGGAAAGACAGCGGATTTGTCCAAACTAGTGTCTGGTCGATGCACTATCCACGTGCTCAATTATCGTCTGTTTCAGTCAACAGTTTTAAATGAGGAATTTCCACATATGCATATATAGTGTATATATATAGTCCACATATATGAAATTCCACAATACAGTACATAGGTATCCCTTCATCCTACGCGCGCAGAATACAGGAAGTGAAGGCGGGGCCTATCTTGCCCAAACCTCGTGTCTATGGTCTTGTAACTGGAGGATTTTGGAAGGCCAGCGGGACATCCCGTCCAATCAGCACGCCCTCTCACCACTTCACCGCCCCCTGCCTGGAAGAACACGTCCGATTGGCTGGTGCGAGGTGTCACTTAGCCGGCGTCTCCGATTCCGGATGTACCTCTGCAGTTGTCTTTATTTATTTAGTTTTTCAGTTGGTGGGGTAGAGTTTGATTATTTAAATACTCCCCGTTTCTCTTTTCTTCATTAAGTTTTAGATAGTTATTACCTGATACTTTTTAAAGTCTGTGATTTATTTATTTATGTTATTTATTTCGGAGTCGACAGCTCTTTCTTTAATAATTTGACGAGCCAGACGCAGGAGGCTGTGTTATGTGCAGCTATGGGCTTTAGGCCGGGTTGCAATGCTGTCTGCTGATGCATTTAAAAAAAATAATAAATCCAATTAAAGAACAAGCCTTCACTGTCCGGCGACGCCGCACACACTAAACCGACCGCAAACCAATTAAAAGACTTGAATGTCCTCCTTGGGGAACAGACCTTCTGACAGGATCGGAAAGCCGAAAACAATCTCGTTTTTCCTCGGTAAGTGCTGTGGGTGAACCTGTGTTTACAGCCGTTTTTACAATCGCCTGTATTACCAAGACAGACTCCTTCCCGGGTGTTGATCACCGCAACGGGCTGGCCGAGCCGAGGCAACCAGCAATAACACCGCAGACCTGAGGAGCGGCGGAAAGTCTCGGCATTCCGAAATTGTGCGGTTATTTATACGTGCCGTCTACAGCTGTGCTATATTGGAAGGTGATGTAGAGTAACGATTGTGTTTTGATCAGTGGGGGGTGGGGGGATCAGACGGGGTTTTCTTTCGCGTTCTCCCAGGCGTTTTTAAAGACTCCAGTCCGTGACGTTGTTGTTCGCCCGTTCCTGTCCTTCGCTCTGTAAGCCCTCCGTTTAAGTTGGTGGAGCAAACCAGTTCCCTGGCAGGCGTTTGGGGACGTCTCCCAGCGACCAGGAGCAGCTGGGAAGCTGTGGACGGGAACCGCCAGGTGACTTTCCTTGGGAAAACAACCTGGAATCGATGACGGCCCTTCAGCAGGCAGGGCTGCTCTCTGTGGCGTTAGCAGGACGAGCCGTGTTGGGGAGTCCGTGTAAGACCAGTGGTCACTGACCTGGCTGCGTTTTTGTCGTCAGAGACCCTGTAAGGCAGCAGGTGTGATTCATCTGTTTTATCTGACAGTGTTCTGAGTTTCCGCGATCTCAAGAGCCCGGAACAGCTTTGTGAAAAATAATGGGTTGAAAACATCTATTTCTCATTTTCATTAACGTCACAGCAAACGTTTCTCACGTGCTTGAACAACGAGGCAGACGCCCGTATCCAGAGCGCCACAAATCAAGCGTTTTCAGAAGCACGGTGATGAGCATTAGAGGCGACAGTTTATTCTGAGACACAGCTGGTTACAGGTCTGTTAAAGAACAGCGCAGTGGCCACATGTCTGCTGTCTCCCAAAACCTAAAAATATCTGCATCTTTGCTGGAACTGACGTATTTAGTGTTTTTTTTTAAAGATCTCGACAGAAAGCCCTTTGTGTTTTGAGGTCGCTCCGGGTAATCTGCATGGTTATTAGGCCTGGTTTGAGTCATTCAAACTAAGGCTTTCAGATGTGACTAGCCAGGCACGTCACATGACAGACGCATGATCACTAATTGCGTTTCTGGTCCGCGGTGGTGTTGCTGGTCTCGTCCAGAGCTCGGACCACACGGTCACAGACCCGACCTGCCGGCGGCCAGGGGTTTAAAGAAGGACGGGATCATCCCTGACGCAGGTGGACCTCCAATCAGCTCTGCAATCCTGAGTTTGATCAGCAGAGCTTGGAGCCTGGCAGCGTTTCAGCTGTGCCCTGCAGAATGACTGACCCTGTTACAGCTGTTGGACAGCCGCTTGGCTGTGTGGTTTTATGTCTTGGCTTGGGTTGTGTGTCCTGCTGATGAAGTGGACTCCCTGTTCCTTACGAGCCAGCCTGTCTTTCTCTGCCCCCCGTGCAGGGCGTCTGGGATGGTGAGATGGAGAAGGAGCAGCGAGAGACTGAGGAGGCTGAGGAGGGGAGGTCCGGCACGCTGCCCCCTGCCCCCAGCCCGTCTCTAACAGGTACGCCGGCCCAGTTCCCGCGGGACTGTCCCGGACGTTGGACAGGATTTCCAGCTCTCTGTGCCTCCGCGAAATAAAAGGGAAAGTGAGGACTGTGCGAGAGACCGTCAGTCACCAATAGAGCTCTGTTGTACTGGTGTGTAGGATTTGTCTGCGGGGAGGTGATTTGCTCCGATGGTTCCCACACGTCCAGGGACACTGTAGTCGTCTCTCGGCTGGAAAATGAGAAACAGTCGTAGTTGCCCTCGGAGAGCGACAGGCGCGGGTGATGGAGTGACAGGGGACAGTTGCTAACGGGGTGCTGACGCAGCTGATTAAAGTGGTTCATGTTCTTCCACTGGTCTAATAGTGTGTGATGTGGCACCTCAGAAAGCACCAGAGGTGGAATTAGGATCTCCTGCTGGGGAGGGGATTAGGAGGTTAGGCCAGAGCAGCACTGAGGACCGGGGCTGCACAGTGTAGAGAGCAGGGATCCCCAGTTCTGGTCCCGCAGGGCTGCAGATCACCATGGATCAGCTCATTATTGACTTTGCTGGATCAGAGTAAGAGCTTCTCCCACCTGTCCAGGTGCTGCTGCTTCACAGAGATCTAGAAAGCCTGCAGACACACTGACTGGTTCTCCAGGGCCAGGAGAAGCGATCGCCGGCGTAGACGTACACCCTTCGGTGCCGAGAACATGTCGGCCTTGTTTCAGAAAGGCAGTGTTGAGCAGCCTGCCCCGGCCTCGAGCCTCCGAGACGCAGCTGCTCACCGGCCCCCAGTCGAGAGAGATGGGCGGAGCCGTGTTCCTGCGTTTGTGATTCCTGAGGGGAGGTGGCGACTGTCTGTGTGCTTGTTTCAGGCCCTGCGGACGCCTCTCTCGGTCGCCTGTCCCAGCGCGGCCCGGACTGCCGGCCGGAAGGGGACTCTGACGGAGAGGGGGCGGCGCTGGAGCGGCCGTGCCCGGAGGACGGGGAGGTGGGAGGCTGTCCGGCACTGGGCTCGGAGTCGCGGCTGGGGGCGGAGGTGGGGGCGGGGCCAGAAGAGCCCGCCCGCGGCGGGGGTGGGGCTCTGAACGGCGCGGCCGGGGAAGAGCTCTCCGACTCGGCCTCCACCGACAACACCCTGGAGGACTCCAGCGAGTTCGCGGGCCCCCCGCCGGTCGCCGTGCTGGCCGGGGGGAAGCTGGAGGAGGCGGGCGGGGTGGGCGCGGGGGTCCCCGGGGTCTGCTCCCCGCTGTCGGAGCCCGGCAGCCCCCCGCCCTCCTCGCTGGCCCACCGCGAGGAAGATGTGACGGCCGAGGGGTGGCGGCAGCACAGGAAGCACGTGTTCGTGCTGAGCGAGGCCGGCAAGCCCATCTACTCGCGCCACGGCAACGAGGAGGCCCTGTCCTCCACCATGGGGGTCATGATGGCGCTGGTGTCCTTCGTGCAGAGCGGAGACAACGCCATCCGCTCCATCTACTCCGGTGAGGACTGCGGCCGCTGGGCGGGGAACAGCTTTGCGGCTCGCGGGAGAAGCGTTCACGTGGCGGGGGTGGTTTCGGGGCAGCAGGTGTCCGTACCGAAAAAAAATAAATGCCTCAGGCCAACCCAAAGTAAAACCGTCTGTAAAGAAACTTCTGCAGAGGAAAAAAAAAACACATTTCTCAGCTCAGAGAAATGAGAGACAGATGAGTGTCTTCGCAAAACTCCTGAGGCAGTCAGGCCGCAGAAAGCCCGTTTTCTGTTCAAACTGGCGTGGACTGACCAGCTGTTGAAATGACTGTTCTTGTTATGTAGTGCCCCTCTGCTTTACAACAAACACTAGCCCACAGTGATGGAATTACCCGGGTTCTCCTCTCCGGTGGTATAGATCTGCAGGCCGTGCAGCTGTCACCCGCTCAGGTCTGCTTCAGTTTTTACGGCTTCTTGTTGTTTGGATTTCCGTTCTGTGTCAAGGCTTCGGACTTGACTGCGGCTGGGCTCTGTGTGCGTTTTGTTGATTATTACTAAAGTGTTTTCAACGCGCTCTTAGTTTGACCTGTCTGTGCTGTGCTGTGACACAGACCTTTAGAATCTCCTTCTCTTGAAACAAACAGCTGAGTTTTAGCCTTTTGCCTTTCAGGGCATCTTTGGGGTCCCTGATGTGGAGGAGCACCAGAGGTGGTGCTCAGAAACCTGACAAGTGCGATTAAATCAGCTCAGGAACACAGAGGTTTCATTTTTCTTGGAGGCTGCGGTTCATTTCTGGGAACATATTCCTGGATTGTGCAAGTGCTGGGCTGCAGGGAGTTTATAACCACATCATCTAGCTTAAAAAATCTGATGGTGGTGTTATTCCTGTTTCATTAGAATATTCCTTGCAGTCAGCCTGCGAAAGATAGAAGATAGAAGTCCTAAGGCACAAAGGTTAGGAGAGATATTGTGACATGGCTGATTGAGTGTTCACATGGAGTATGTGCTGGTGAAACAGCAGGCATTATCTGTGCTGTGTTGAGAATCGGGGAAAGTCAGTCGTCCAGTTCGTTAACCGGCTCCTGCCTTTGTGCTCTTGTCTCCCCTCTGTGGCGGTGCGCCAGATGACCACAAGGTGGTGTTCATGCAGCAGGGCCCCCTCGTGCTGGTGTCGGTGTCGCGCAGCCGCCAGTCGGAGCAGCAGCTGCGGCGCGAGCTGCTCTACGTCTACTACCAGATCGTCAGCATGCTCACGCAGGCCAGCATCACCCGCATCTTCGAGCGCAAGAAGAACTACGACCTGAGGCGGCTGCTCGCCGGCTCCGAGAAGATCCTGGACGGGCTGCTCAACATGGTGGACTCCGACCCCAGCTTCCTGCTCTCGGCCGTCCACTGCCTGCCCCTCTCGTCCTCGCTGCGGGACTCCCTGAGCCAGATCCTGCAGAAGGCCATCACCCCCAACCTGGTCTTCTCCATCCTGATCGCCAAGAACCAGCTCCTCACCATCGTCCAGGAGAAGACGGTCATCGAGGACACCAGGCTGGAGCCGGCTGACCTGCACCTGCTGCTCAACCTCATTGGTGCCTCCTCCGCCTTCCAGGCAGGGGAGATCTGGACCCCTATCTGCCTCCCGCTCTTCAACCCCGACTGCTACTTCTATGCTTACATCTCCTACCTGGACCCCCCGCAGTGCACGGTGTGCCTGCTGCTGCTCTCCACCGACAAGGAGGCCTTCTACGCGGTGGCCGAGTGCAAGAGGAAGATCGAGGAGGGCATGCGGACTCAGAACGCGCTGCACACCATCGCGGGCGCCCAGCCCTACAGCGTGACGCAGGTGGGCGTCTCGGACCTGCGCCACTTCATGTACAAGCCCTTCGACGTGCCGGACAACCACCGCCAGCTCACCCAGTTCACCAGGTGGGTGCCGGCGCGTCCTGTCTCAAGGGCGAAGGCGCTCTTGTCTGCGTGCGGGTTCGCGGCCCTGTGGCTGCCAGGCAGAACGCTGATGTCTGAAGTAGCTGCAGTTATCTGGCGGCTGGTAACTATTTTCTCCCCGCAGCAGATCTGGAGCCCTGCAGTTCAGTGCTCAGCATCTGAAAGTAAATTGGTGCCGTGTGCCAGATTTGCTGTTTCGCGCGCAGAGTTTATAGTTCACAAAAACATCCCATGCAGAGTCTTGCCACTTGAAGTGAGTAGCTGTGATATGAAGCACAAGTGCAACACGAAGTCTGGAGCAGACGTTGGTGCAACGCTGTGTCTGAGGTTTGCATCAGGTTTAACGAAGAGGCTCGGAAGTGGAGTGTGGTTTTGTTTCCTCTGCTTCAGCACTGCTGAAAGTAAAGCATGTCGTGTTTATAGCTTGGTTGTGGCGGATTGCATAAGCTCTGTTTTTCTGCTTTGAATTCAGTAACAACTGGCCCGCGGTGTGTCGCACTCAACCGAGTGTTTATCTCTACAAGTGCAGTTGAAGGCATCTGCTGTCAAACCACTAACGATTTCGATTTTTCCTTTCATGTGGAGTTCACTTCACCCTGTCAGTGTTTTCTCCCTTGATTAACAATCAAAGGTTTTTCAACAGTCTGTTGGAGACCTCTGTCCATGCTTCCAGGCTCTCTGCCACCTGCTTTCTTGAGGAAGTGTATTCAGATCATGCAGCAGATCAGTAGGGGAGACTTCTTTGACATTGTACGGCTTGTGAGAAATGTAGAACCTAAGACAATCTGCATCTCTCTGCCCTGTTCTTATCTTGTTCTTTGATGTGCCCCAGACTTCTTTTCACATCAAATGGCAAAAAGGCAGGGATGTGCCCCAGTTTTTTGGGACTGCAGCCTGTTGCCTCTCTCTTTGAGCTGGGAGTTGCATGGCGTTTGACGGCTCTGGACCTGCTTGCTTGGTCCGGCTCCTTGTCTTCGCAGCCTTTGGGCGATCAAGACTCGTTTTCGAGCCGAGAGCTGTAGAAGGGGACTTGGTTGCTTTGCCGTTATGTTTTCATCTTGCGTCCAGATTGTCCTCAACGCCCCAAGGTTACCCAGGTCATTTGCTTCCCTGTTGTTCGTGGTTCTTTGGGCTGTTTTGAAGGGCTGTCGTGGCCTCTGGGTGACAGTCCTCTGTGCACACGGATGTTGCACATCAGCCAAAGTCATCGCCAGCAGCTTTCTCTGCGACCCACCACCTATCATGTCATGTGCTCTGATAGAAATGCACTGCAGAAACACAGGAGCATGACTTTGGCTGAGTTCCAAGTATGAAAGGGGTATTTGGTTAGCCTGCAGTAATTGGAACTCTGTTCTTTCCATTTTGCCTGTACTATAACACCATTTGCATATCTGCAAAAGCTGCTCTGATTTTTTCCCAGTTATGTTTAATGTGTTCAGCATGACTTTCATTTATATTTTTGTTTATTGCATTATATAATACTAGATTGTCTGAGGTATAAGAAAGGTCTTTAGTAATGTGGTTGCTGAATGAAACTTTTGTAACTTTATTCCATTAACCTCAATGATCTTGTTTTACCGACTCTTGATTCCCTGATGAATTGCACAGAAACTCTTCTTTGTGCAGCCAAAACTTTTTTATTTAGGAATTCAAAGAGAGACATGCAGCCCTCTCCAATCCTCTGTTTAATACCCTGGTACTTGTAAAGCGGTTTTGCACTTAAATCAAAACTACCTTGTGATCCAGAATCTAAATTCATATATCTGTGAAAAAAATTGCTGTTGATTAGTTCCCTTTACTAAGGGAAATCCCCAGCAGAAACCAGTAATCGGCATTGGTCCTCTCTGGCAGCCATGGGTAGAATTAGGAAGAGAGAATTCAGAGGAGTGGCTTCTGGATGACAGTCCTCTGTGCACGGAGTGAGGAAACGCCCTGCCTGAGCTGTGCCAGCAGGAAATCTGAAATGTGTTCTGCTAAGAGCTGGAAGGAGGGTGACAGGCTGTAGGTGACCATTTGGCTCATTTGGTAGCAAAGAGCTGATTGACTCGGCCAGCTGCATCTCGGAGGACCGCAGAGATCCACTTCCCACCATGCGGTGAGGAAGCTTGCTCCAGCACCTGGTTTCCTAAGTACACTGGAGCCGAACGTAATGCTCCTGAGCGCTGGTCTGCCTCCGGTGTTTGCTTTCTGCTCAGGCATGTTTGAGATAACATTGAAAGGTCCTTCCGGGGTTCTGAAGAGCTGATAACGTCTCGTTAGAACGTGTTTTCCTAAACTTTCTGAACCGCGAATGTTTCGGAATGCCAGGCGCACAGGCACTGCAGGAAGACGGGAGCCTGTGAGTGGCTGTAGCGCCTGGGGAGGCTGACCGCTGTGTGTGGGTGTCGTTGCTTTCAGCCCGGAGCTGGAGGCTCCCTACAGCACGGAGGAGGAGAGGCGCCGGCTGCTCGACCTGTACCGCTACCTGCACAGCCGCATGCACAGCTGCACCCGGCCGCTCAAGCTCATCTACCACGTGGCCGAGAGGGAGACGCTCCTGGCC